TGGGGGGGGGGGGGGGGGGGGGTATAAGCGCTATCCATAAACGTTGCGACAAACGCGGGATACAAGGTCCATGTTGAATTTCCTTTATAAGAACGTAAAATATGTCTCTCCCTGTGAGATGAAGAAGGGATGCCATAACCTACAATGTATAGAGTAATTAATGTTAAAGTTTTTTGTGTCGAGCAGAACAGAACTGAGGTGAATTAAGATGCAGTTTTTTATATTGCTAAAAATTGTGCCTTTGCGTATGATACGCGAATTTTGTCCTGCAGCCTGCAGCACGTCCGATCTGCCGCTGGGAGGTTCTGGCTGGAACTCCACTCATCGCTGGAATCGTTTTCACGATCGTTTCTGTTGTCATGACTCAAATCGTTTCGTTTCACTGAGACGCTGACTTAAGTAGGCAGTAATTGTGGCTCGTACGTGCATCTGACCTCATCTTCGTGGGCCACGCGCATTTGCACGTTCTTTCAGAGTGCTTTCTGCCTGCAGGTGCTCGAGACTGGTGATGTGTGAGCCTTCAGGCATGGAGTCCTGGCAGCCAATCCCACGCGCGCAGCCCTTCGTCCCGAAGCGAGGCGGGTGGTATAACTCGCAGGCGGTCATCGCCCGGCCCCTCGGAAGACGACGTGTCCTCACGAAGATATTCCAAGTACGTACGACGAAGACGACTCTGGCTTCGTCTGGGCGTGCTCGAGAAGTCTGGCTTCAGTTCTCGCCCCCAGACACGCACGAAGTTGTGGCTTTTCTCCCAGTCTCTGATGTTCGATATTTGACTTTGCAACAAATGCTCTAATATCATCCATTGCCAGAGATGTTAAAGGACCACATATTCTGATTTATAGGAGCAGAGAAATACCATTCGCCATTGGTCACCCTCGTCTGCTTCTGGATGTTTTCGTACTTTTGCTATGGGAATGTGCGACACTTTTAATCAAAAACACAAAATTTAGAAATAACCTCAAATAACCGAAACGTGTTAACATTAATTCGTCCATGTCGGATATTTTGGTTATACTGTCCTGGCTATTTACTTCCAAAATTGTATGTAAATTTATGCAGGAAATGTTACTCGGCGTGTCAATGAATAATAGTCCACTTTCTTTATGAAACTCGAAGGCTCATCACCGTGTTCACAAAAGCCCACTCCATCCTAAACTAGCTGCATCGACTCCTATCTCCCTAAGATCCACCCTAACGTTGTCCTCCCACCGACGCCTTGGTCTTCCCAGAGGTCTCTGCAAGAGAGAACTTGTGTCATAATTCATTCACAAAAAGAGGCAATGTTTTTTTCGAATGGGGATAATTCTGTAACAAGACTCATGGGAAAATCTCTCGAATTATCGAGGAAATAGTCTTTAGATTTGTCAGCCCCCAGTCCTCCACCCCTTGAATTCCTTCCCACTGATGTTCTTCTGTTTGCGTGACCAGAGGAGTCGATTGGCCGTTCAGGGCGCGAGTCCGTAAGTCCCTGTGAAGGCGTCAAAGATTTGTCTCCAACTTGGTTCATTCAGTGAGGGCAAAATGCTAAAAATAAAGGTTCCAAAACTCTGACGGTATTTGTAAGAGAGAAATGTTTAAATTTGTTTCTGGGACTCATACACACTTAGTACTTTTTAATCTATAAGCGTAGGGATTTTATCTGCTGACATTTATGCGCAATAACCAGAAAAGTAGTGCAGGGAAAGCAAGTCTTAAACACGGGTGGATGGATACATAACGAGATGTCACATTTGCAGGAACGAGTGAACATGGCAGGTCTTTTTCATTATTCGTTTCAGGTGCTGTTGGTTGTGGTCCTGCTCATTACAATCGGCATTAATATCATGTTCATCCTGGACACGAGCAGACGTCTTCACGATGAGGTGCTGACAACAGGTGAGAGAATCATTTCATGTTCCGACTTACAAACAACTTCCAGTTCATTGATTGGTCAGTCTTTGGGCCATTTGATGCAGCGTTTCAGTCGAGAGTGCGCGCTTGTTTAAGGACTGGGCCGGTCCTGGCACTTCGGATACGGATTGAGCGGCCGTGAGTAACCGCCACATTACTGAAAAATAGTTCCTGCAGCTGTTTAAACGGTTTTGATGGTCGTGCATTTATTCACAGTTTGTATTCAAGATGAAGGTGCACATTTTAATAATATGTTTATCTGATAAAGAAACTTGAATTTCGGACTTATTATAATGAACTTTCAACATCAGCCATTTTCGTATTTGCCACTGCGTGAACCTCACGTCCTACTTAATTTAAATATGAACGGCTCGATTTCTGTTGAAAAGTCGTTGATTGATGGGCTCAGATGCTGTAGTTATCAAGTAAGTCATTTGAAAATGCGAACTGAAAAGACCGAATTTAACAGAACCAAGCTTTGTGGAATGGCTGAGTCGCTGAGAGTCACTTAGTCGCAAGGCCCTTGTTTGTTTTTGTATTTTCAGGGGGTGGTGAGGAACTGGTTGATGGGAAGAACCGGAGGAATAACTTGAGGCTGCAGGAGAGCCAGCCCAAGTCCCTCGCCATTGAGGTCGTCAGCAGCCAGTCCAAAGTGTCCGTGTCTGTCGACGGGACAACGGTAAGTCGCAGGAGTGGCTCTGAATTTGCTTCTCTGCTTGTAGCGCGGATTCGCACGTTTTGAGATTTGATGGACTTCTCGTGTACGCATTCATTTTATACGAAAAACCTCGTTAAAAGCGAGAAACTAGGAACGAGGCTTATCTGTATATTTTTATAAATGGAGCCACTGGTTGTGACGTGTTGGACGTCCGAAACTTTGTTTGTAGTGCGAAGGACTAAACTGGCCGTTGTTAGGAGCGTGTTGTACACTTCTGGTAAAATTGTCTCTGATGTTAATTCATTTTTCGAACCATGAGAGTGTTGCAGTGCCTGAAAATTTGTTGAGAAGAATTTTGTCTTCTGAATTACAAGTCAAACTTCGTAGACGTTTAGTAATGCGAGTTTGATGGTCTTAAGAATTGCGCAACAGCAGCCTTCTGTGACTGATTCTAAGTCGGAATAGATAAAGCTTTGTGAAAATGACGCAGAGTTTGCATTCATGTTAGAAAAATAAAAATTTGGCATCACTTCTGGGAAAGTCTGTCTCTAATTAGAGATTTCCAAGCAGAAGTGTGTCGTAAGAAGATTAAAATTCATAATCTGATTAATTATTATTTAATTAGCTGCAGAGGGCAGATGGTGGGCGTAGCCTGAGTGTGTATTTTTCTGAAACATTGAAAGCATCGGCATTGAATCTTGTCAGTGGTGAGGGTTGAAGTCTGCATTTGGCGCATTGCCACGCCGACTACCAAGTCTTCCGATGGCGTCAAATGAAATGAATTACCGGTAATGTTCCTGCCTACAAAGCTAATAAACTGCAATGAGAGAAATTTAATGTAAATGTAGCTTGCTAGATCCTGGAAGACGATGAAGAGCACAAGAGACGGGGCATCCACGTTCTGGTGTTGAACCAGGCCAGTGGGAGTGTCATGGCGCAACGCACGTTTGACACGTACTCTCCACACGAAGACGAGGCGATGGCGCTGTTCCTGAACATGGTGTCTGATGGGAGAATCATCATATTTGCCATAAAGGTATAGAAAACCAAGTTGCCGATTGACAGAGTTTGGGAAACCTTTAATAGATGTCACCAGTGCCTAGGCGTCACTTGTGTTGCCTTCACTGCAACAGAAATGTTTGGACGCACGCACTTTATTACAGTTTCTTCAACGCTTTTGTGTTTGACTTGATTACGTAATATCAGATGGCTTTCAATTTCTGTTTCAATTGCAGGACGAAGGGACGTTTCAGATGAAGCAACCCGCGCGTGACCTCCTGAAACGACTTGGGTCCAAGAGAGCGCAGGTTATTGGCTGGAGAGACATGTGGGCGATGGCGACGCAGAAAGGCGCTAAGATGTTCGGAGAATCGTATAGCAAGAGTACCGAGTTCAACACCTGGGGAGCTCCCGTAGTTCTTCGTACGGAAGTTCCTCTTGTACCAGTGGAAGGTAAATGTGCATTAACTTTTAATTGTTCAGATCTTGTCTTGCATTGAACAAAAACAAATCATCAGTAATTGAATTCATTCTAATTCTTTAATTTGTTGAAGGGCCTGAGAGTGGCGAGAAATTCAGTTACAGGCAAACGCCCAGAAAGAATCTAAATAAAAAATAAAGTTAATACAAAAAGTACAAATGCAATAATAATCTGAGCCATTATGACAAGAAGAAAATTATTTATTGGTGTTTACATGTCATAGGCTCTTAGCTGTTGGCAGATGGAACTGAATTTAATTGAATTGAATAATAGATTATTCTACAGGTGTAACTCGTAGACGTAGTTCTCACCCAGACTCTGACGCACATTCACAGGTGCCATGTTTCTGTAGATTAGATACAGTTTATGTTTCAGTCATTTCGGTGTTGGTAATTGCTGAAATGATGTAACTGCTTGCAGACAGCGAGTGTGACTGGGCGGATACGGAAGAAAACCGAAGACGAAGGGAGTTCTGTAACCATATCGAAGGGTATGGGAGCGTGTGTAGTTGCACAGACCCTGCCCCACTGATTTTCAACCCTGAACCAGTAAGTTCTGTGTCTGGTTGAATGCTTAATTTTTTGCTCATCGATAGTTTGGAAAGAAGACGCTTTTGCGCTTGTTCTAGATCGTAAGTGCGGCCTGTTATTTGTAGGCTGCTGAATAAGACATCAGTTTTGCATGTCTACTGAGTCTTGTATCTGCCAGTGTTAAATTCTTGCGAGTATGTTATAAAAATTTAAAAACCTAAATTAAAAGTTGAAAAAAGGAACTGAAGAATGTGTCTGGAAGGAGAGAAAGATATTTGTTAAATTATGCTTTGGAAAAATATGATGTTGGGTGGCAAATCTTCACACAAAGAGGATCCTGTAGTGACAAAGTTTGGGAACCTAACCTAACATAACCTAACCTAAACTAAACTAAACTAAACTAAACTAAACTAAACTAACATAACCTAACCTAACCTAACCTAACATAACCTAACCTAACATAACATAACATAACCTAACCTAACCTAACATAACATAACCTAACCTAAAGTAACCTAACCACCTAACCTAACCTAAA